AAGCGCAGCAGGCCCCCGGGAGCGGGCTCCGGGACCCTGAGCGGGGGCCCCAGTATAGACTGGGCCCAGGTGGGGCTGGGGTCCTCTCTCTGCGTCTCCCACCCCGTTTCTCTCTATGGCTCTTTCCAGAGGGTCACAAATAGGACTTTTCTTCCTGGGCCCCATCTCCAGAGCTGGCATAGGAGTGTGGATGAGAGGGGACCTACCATCTACCTGACTCTTCCACACAAGTCACCTCAGTCACAGCCCCCAGGAAGTGGGTCCCCTCTCAAGCTTGGCCCCCCAAGTGCAAACACAGGAGTCACAGCCCCACATGACTTCTGTGGGAGGCAGAGGGAGGAAAGGGGAGGTCCTCAGGCAGGGCCTATATTCACCCCAAGTGCCTGGATCTGCTCTCAGCTGTGTGGGCACATGGGCCTCAGTTTCCCCAGCTGTACAATGGAACACCTGGTTTCAGGGGTGCCAAAGGCCCTCTTCTATTAGAATCCCAAGAAGCAGGAGCCTGGCAGTGACCCTGTAGAGCGTGTGGCCCCTATCACCCAGGCTGGCTGAGAATGCTGCCCTCGCCTCTATGTTCCCTAGGGCCCAGCTGCCAACTCCTTGCTGTCATTCTCCTTGGGGGGGGGGGGGTGTGAAGGTGCTTCTCTTCACTGACACCTGAACAGGTGAGCCCAGGACCCCAGGACCTGGAATCAATGGGAGGGACCTCCCACAGTCTGATAGACCCCCAGGGGCTGAGATTCCCTCTACTGGCTTAAGATGCGAGCCTGGGGGTGGGGTGGTCCAGAGAGGCCAGGCCAGACCCCAGAGGGTGTCCCCATCTCGGCCAGACTTCAGTTGGGGGCGGGAATCCAGCCTCATCCCCCTCCTTCATCAACTTTCCATCTGCCCCTGCTGTAATGCCCCCTGTTTTCTGGCTGAGGAAAGAGGGGTAGAGGTCTCAGGGCCTGCCTCTGGGTCCCCATCACCCTCTCTCAACAGGGAGTGTGGGGGCTCTGGGCTTAGTGTGGGGGAGGACCGGCTCAGGGCAGCCCCCCCACCATACACACATGCAGGCAGCCTCCCTTGGGTCTTCCCCAGGCTTGGTCCCTGTTGGGTCCTTTCTGTGCCTCAGTTTCCCCTGATGTGGATGGTGCACCACAGGGCTTCCAGGTGTCCCCCAGCATGTCTCCTCTGAGGGCTGGAGTGGGTGGATGCTGACCACGATATCAGAAGAGGGGGCCTGCCTCTGAATTTGAGGGAGCTGGGGGGCTTGGGTGACCTCAATCTTAGCTCTAGGGATCCAACAGTTGAATGGCCAAGTCCTGGAGTAGGGTAGGGCTGACGCGGACTCCTGTGGCACATGGTCTGGGGGACCCCAAAGCCCTAAGCATTTAGTAAGCACAACTGTTCCCCAGGTCCGGGCCTCTGTGTGTGTGTGTCTCTGTGTCTGTGACCTTCATTTCCGTGTGCTTCAGACAAAGCTGCCCTTCCTTCCTGTGTCCTAGCAAAGCCCTAACCCCCCACTGAAAGCCAAGTCCACACTCTTCTTGAACTCCACCTTGGAATTTCCTGCAGCCTTAGCGGGTTGTAACAGATAATTGCACCCATCTTTCGGGTGGGCAAACAGAGGGCAGGTTCAGAGAAGGGAGGGCTCCCCCTGCATATTCCGAGTCTGGGGGGAGGTGTTCCTAGCTGTGCCACACCCCAACCTTGCCTCCAACAATCGGAAATAATTAAAAATAATTGTGGCATCTGAAAATCAATCCGCAGCCAGACAGGACAGCAGCTCAGAGTGAAACGCGGAAGAATCTTGTGCAACAAAACCGGGTTGGGGTTCTGGTAAGAAACGCTAAGCCAGAGGAAATGTCCCTAAATAGGACTTTAGGGCTTGGGGGGTGGGGCTTCGGGGTTGCAGCGCTTCTGCCTTTTCTGTCCCTCCTACTGCCAGACTATCAGTTTCATTTTTACAAGCTTGTGTGGCTTTTTTTTTTTTGCAACGGGGAAGAGTCCGTTTCGAAAGAAAGGAGAACTGAAGGCCTTGAGACAAGGGCCCGAGCTGCCGCGCCCCTCTGCTGCGCTGAACACCCGAGGGTGGTACAGTCTCTCTAAAGTCCTTTGGAATTAGAAGGGACCTCCCCGCACCGGCGAACCGGCCGCATCCAGGTGTGCCAGCCCTCGGCTACCCAGCCCCTCTCGGTCCCGGCCAGGACTTGAGTCCTCCAGGAATGGGGATCTCCCCACCCACAGAAGCTGCGTTCAGACTGGGAGATTGAGCAAAACTGTGCCGTCCTCACAGGGGGAGCGTGGCCCCGTGGGGTCCCAGAGTCGGCTTCACCCCCGCCAGCGGCCTTTTAGTAATTAGTAAAATAGAATTGAGCTGGCCAAGGGGCGGGCCAGCCACTCCGGCGCGATCGATCTTGGGTCATTAGGCAAATTGCGGGCGGGGGAGGGGCGGGCTGTATGGGGGCAGAGTGTCCCCATCCTCGCTGCCACCGGGACCTTGAAGTCCTCCGGCCTCAATATCCCTTCTTGGAAAATAAGGAGTCTGACCCCAGCGTCCACAGCCGCGCTCCCCGCCGAGAGCCTCGCGTCTGCACTCCCGTGCGCCTCTGCCAGCACCCGGCCGCCCGTGCCGACGCCCACACTCTCTGTGCCCATGTTGGGCCTGTGGGAAGCCAAGACGCGCAGTCCCGGGGACCCACCCCTCGGGGATTCACAGTGCCAGGACAGCGGCTGGGAGGACGGGTGGGCTGGGGCCTCCTCCATGGCCTGCCTCGGCTGCTGTCACCGCCATAAACGCCCCACTCGGAAAGCTCCAACCCTCCCCTTCTCGGTAAAGTCCATTCCCACTTCTCCTCGGACACCCGGTCTTCCTTGTTCCAAACATTTTTGAAGCTAAACATTTTGGGAGGTAGATGCACACATTTCCCTTTCCCGGCTCCCCCAGGCCCCTCCACGGCCCGCGGTTGATTTGATTTGTCTCCCCGGAAATGAAAGTCCCCGGCTGCTGGCAACCCTTTATTACAGCGAGGTTTTAATAAATGGTGGCTATTC